CTAACGGCCTCCTAAGTCCTACTGAGAAGGATCCTGGAGTCTTTAAAATCACAAATCGTCTGAAGTTAGGGATTTTCTCGCCTCATTTCCTTTACTGCACGCCTTGGCCACCTTTATCACCAAGTCAATGTCTGACACCTTTGGGCCTTCAGCGATGTTCCGGGAGCTGGTGGACAGGAGCTGTGGGTACCTGGAATAGAAACTCAACTTGAGAGCAAGAACAAGGCTTTGCTAGGGGCAAGCTCTAGCGTCCTGCTATATTTTCCTGGATAAGCACCAGGGGGCAGCATTATCTCTCATTTGGCAGCCCCTCTGACTTCCGTCCGTCCCGGCCCCTCCCACCCCCAGAGAAGACTATAACCTTGAAAAAAGGGGGAAGAAAGCCGCCTAATAAATTTATATTCAAGCCATGTGACTAACTTTAGATTTTCTAGTAACTACGCCGAAGAGTGAAAAAGAGCCAGGTGTCTGTAATTTGAGCTCTTAGGAGGTGGAGACGGGAAGGCCATCCTGGGCTACATGAGACCCAATCTCAAAAAACAAAACAGTAACAACATCCAAAAAACAAAAAAGTAAAAAGAAAGATAATTTTATTCAATATGCCCAAAATATCGTTAAAACGTGCACTTTAAATATTATTAATGAAAAAAAAAGAGAGGCTTGTGTAGCCCAGGCTGGCCTCAGATCCACAGAAATCTTCCTGCCTCAGCCTCCTTATAGGTGTATGCCACCATGTCCAGATTAAATCCCATTTTAAAATGTATACATAATACATCTCAATTCGGACTAGCCATATTTCAGTCCTTCATAGTCACATGTCCTTAATAGTCACTAGGGCTGGAGAGATGGCTTAACAGTTAAGAGTACTGGCTGCACTCCCAGAGGACCCAGGTTTGATTCGAACACCCACATGGTAACTCCAGTTCCAGGACATCTTATACCCCCCCTCTTATGGCCGCTACAGATATCAGGTACATGTGGTGCACACACATGCATGCAGATAAACCCTCGTACACAGAAGAAAACGTCAGAATCTTTAGGAAGTAGTCAGGTGTGCCCAGTGGTTTTCATATTGAACAGAACAAGTCTAGAAGCGTTTTCTGCCTTCATCTCAAAGGCAGCCTGGTGGGAAATGGGATTCACCCTTTGTTGGTTTGTTGTTTTTCCCTGAGACAGGGTTTCTCTGTGTAGCACTGGCCGCCCTGGAACTCACTCTGTAGACCAGGTTGGCCTCAAACTCAGAGCTCTGTCTGCTTCTGCCTCCTCAGTGCTGGGTTTAAAGGCGTGTGTCACCACCACTGGGCTTAAACTGTCACTTTATTTGACTGCCTCCCAAATGGATGCTCTAATCTCCCTACCCCAGCTCCAGACTTATTACCTCCTCCACTTTTCCCCTCCCTCCCTCCCACAATGGGCATTTCAAACTCCCCATCTCCAGGGCTCACCATCTGTTCTCCTAGGGTCTACCCCCACAGTTGTAAAGCCCAGAGATCACCTTTGACTTCTTGTCCTCATAGCTACATCACACGTCCCCAAATCTTTTTGCCTTTTACTGTGTTTTTTTTTTGGGGGGGTGGGGCTTCCGAGGTAGGTTTCTTTGTGACTTTGGAGGCTGTTCTGGAACTAGCTCTTGTAGACAAGGCTGGAATGAACTCACAGAGATCCGCCTGCCTCTGCCTCCCAAGTGCTGGGGTTAAAGGTATGCACCACCACTGCCCGGCCTTTTTGCCTTTTTCTTAGCGTTATTGCTATACCATCCCCATTTCTCACCCTTTCTAATGCTGCCCTAATCTGAGTTCCCATCTCCCCAATCTGTGGTTTCAGTGTGGCGTGCACAGTGATTCTGCCAACACTCACATGACCCACGGAGTCATGTCTTTGTTCATAGCACCAGGTCCAGTGGCACATACTTCTAGTCTCAGTACTTGAGAAACTAAGACTGGAAGATCACCATGGGTTCAAGGCCAGCCTTCGGTTCTTAGTGAGCTCATGTCTTAAAAACCAAACCAAAATAAAATCTTTCAAAGCTTTGATATCAGAATAAAAGCCCTATGTTTCCAGTGACCCTTGACACCTTACTCTGTGTGGCCATTGTTTTGCCTCTTTGACAACTTTCCCTCTGGCCAGATTACCATTCCTCAGCTGTGAGGAGTGAGCAGGGTCTTTTTGTGTTTCCACACTTGCAGGTCTCCCTGCCCGGAACCTTTCCTGACTGCCTGTGAGATATTCATTCATTAGTTATCTTCAGATCTGCTCTCTGCCGTCACTACAAGGACAACTTCCACAGCCACCCTGCTGCACAGCTGGGATTTTAGTCTGTTGTGTTCTTAGCTCTATCCTCAGTGCCCAGAGCAGATGGTGGCCAGCTAAAGGACCTGACTGACCCTAAGTGGAAGGCACCTCTCAGTGAATGTGTGTGCAAGGCTGGGCTCATTGGCTGTGGCTCTGATGATGATTTAGTAAGCCGGGACATGGTGTTTTCTTCCTTCTTTCAGGCCAAGGCCCAGCAGGGCTGGCTCGTGGTGGGCACAGTAGGCTGCCCAGGTCCTGAAATCTCCCATTCCACCAAGGTCCCCATCACTAGCTGCCTAGAGTTCATCTGGGACCGGCCTACTCTCCTTGTGCTGGGTAGGTAGGCTATAGATGCTTTTATGTTTTCATATGTCTGCTTTCTAAGCATGTGGACATCAGGTTGGGGCCCTCTAACACTATCCCATGTTCTGCAGGCAATGAGGGCTCTGGTCTATCCCAGGAGGTTCTTGCCTCCTGCCAGCTG